AAATTTTTTGTGATGTTTCCCCCTCACCGGATCGTTGGGGACGTTCTGTACAGCGCAGTTTCTGCTCCCACTCAAACATCCACCGAGAACGTTGTTCCTCTACCAGCCTCATCATTTCTTTGACTTACACTTACACACACTTTCATTTAGACACAAAAAATATTAATACTTCAAATGGCCTATATAGCGACACTAAGTTTCCTTGATTTAATCTACACACCTGGGGCGCTAAAAGGTGGGCTTTCCCCGCTGGCTCTGAGACGTCCTCGCCGACAGAAAGAAAGATACGTCTGGGCTTTTCTAATGTGTATTTTGCTACAAACCCACCACTTTTTTTTTTTTAATAGGGTGTAATAAAAATTAAAGTGATAGCCACTGCAAGCACAACGCACTCGTTAGCCAGCATAAGTGCAGCAACATCGAATTTTAGACCTGAAATGGTTAACTTTAAAAGTGATTATTAAATCATAACTCAAAATTTAAATTCACTGGAAGCGTTTAACCCACTCTGAGGCCAACTGCCTACGTGGCATGTTCATTGTAAGACCAAAAAAAACACACAAAAAAACAACAAAACAACAACAACAACAACCCATCTTTCGATTTTCCTCATGAAGGCAGTCCTTGAATCTTGCAGCTGACTAAAATAATTCATGTTTACAAAGTGATGCTGTATTCTGATGTGTTGGTCATTTTAAACAGATGAACAAACTAATTATTAAAAAAGTTGGACTGTGATAAAGTTTTTAAGGAGAATAATAAGACACAAACAATTTGTGTGAATAAAAACAATATAGGTTAAGCTTTATTAATTATGATTAGAAAAAAAAAATCATATTCAAACGTTGCGGCTAATGCCTTCACCAGTATAATAAAAAACGTTTGCAAGTATAAATTAAATTCATATTATATATTTATATCCTACCTATAACTAAAAATAAAATTAGAAAATAAGAAGGGGGCTCAAGTTACTTACGAAACAATGATCTGAAGTATTGTTATTGAAAAACATCTGACTGCATTTTTGTCAGACTTGAACTTTAAACTTATCTCAAATTTTAATGACATTTATAACGGTTGATTTATTTATTTTATTTTTTTTTTTGGATGCAGCTACATGGTAACCATTAGAACATAGCCATATGCCTTGTATTAGCGGAGGACAGGTTATAACATCTGCAATAATTGCTGCATTATTCGATATAAGGCCTATTTCAGTGTGATTTTAAAATTCATTCTTCGCAAAGTGGAAATAACGGGGAACATTCTAAGTTGTTTGTAAAATGACATGTTATATGACTGGGAGTATAAACAACAAATTTATTCAATTCTTTTTTTTATGGCAAATGATGTCATTGGTATAAATGGATGAAAGGCGTTTAGAATAAAATCCGACGTGTCTTTGTCTTTCCGGAGTTTTTCTCTGTGATTTCGAAATTAATTGCCAAATTTGCAAATCCGATCTGAGGTCGCATTAACCTAGTCTGGTCAATGCATGTACAAGTATAATACGAACAAAATAATTCTAGACATGGAATGTTCGGCTTATCAGCGTTATATATATATGTAATATATATATATATATATATATATATATATATATATATATATATATATATATATATAAAGAGAGAGAGAGAGAGAGAGATAAAGTAGAGCGAGAGAGAAAGAGAGAGAGAGAGAGAGAGATAGTTCTATACAGTTTATCTGATTAATCTGAAGACAGTTTTTTTTCCATAATTCAAAGGTTCTATTCTAAAAGTGGGAGTTGGGGCTTGGCAAGGGATGGGGCCACCGAAAGGTTTGGAAAATTTTAGTGGTTGCTGAGACCCTCAAGGGCTATAGGCATTTTTAAAAATTAAAATTATATATAATTTAAAGATAGATTATGCAAAATTTATGGTGTTGATCATCGGTGAAAAGTAAGAGTCTAAAAAGATATCTATTTCGTAGTCACTAAGACTCGTAGTCACTAAAACTCGTGGCCACTAAGACTCGTGGCCACTAAGACTCGTGGCCACTAAGACTCGTGGTCACTAAGACTCGTGGCCACTAAGACTCGTGGCCACTAATACTCGTAGTCACTAAAACTCGTAGTCACTAAGACTCGTGGCCACTAAAACTCGTGGTCACTAAGACTCGTGGCCACTTAGACTTGTGGCCACTAAGATTCGTGGCCACTAAGACTCGTGGCCACTAAGACTCGTGGCCACTAAAACTCGTGGCCACTAAGACTCGTGGCCACTAAGACTCGTGGTCACTAAGACTCGTGGCCACTAAGATTCGTGGTCACTAAGACTCGTGGCCACTAAGATTCGTGGTCACTAAGACTCGTGGCCACTTAGACTCGTGGCCACTAAGACTCGTGGCCACTAAGACTCGTGGCCACTAAGACTCGTGGCCACTAAGACTCGTGGCCACTAAAACTCGTGGCCACTAAGACTCGTGGCCACTAAGACTCGTGGCCACTAAGACTCGTGGCCACTAAGACTCGTGGCCACTAAAACTCGTGGTCACTAAGACTCGTGGCCACTAAGACTCGTGGCCACTAAGACTCGTGGCCACTAAGACTCGTGGCCACTAAGACTCGTGGCCACTAAGACTCGTGGCCACTAAGTCTCGTGGCCACTAAAACTCGTAGTCACTAAGAATTGTAGTTGTAAGCGGACTTTACAAATGAGCCGGAGACTATTTTTTTTTATTTTACTTAGTTTACATGTTTTAATAATTGTAAAGCGCTTAGAGCTTTATGATAAGCGCTATATAAAAATGCCTAAATAAATAAATAAATAAATAACAAGCTTGATTTTATATGTTGTTTATTATTAATTTGTTTAATGCAGGTTGCTTGGGTGCATCATAGGATATAACATTGTATTGGTGAGTGATAAATCGGAAAGGCTACGAACAATCAGTGAACACCAGCTTTTAATGAGTTGCTACCTTCATAGACACAAGGCTGAGAATATGGAGATTGGTTATATAGCATGTTTATCTCCGTTGAAATGCGATGAGACCCAGGAAAGATTACTCTGTTATTCATACTGAACAGGGTAAACTTTCCCCGGGCTAATTCCATTTCAACGGAGATAAACATAAAGAGGTCATCAGATGTATCCATCATGGCACTGATTTCCTGTACCCACACACCAGTGAGAATTAAAATGGAAATTATATTAATTCAGCTTTTCGGCACATTATCACCAAATGGAATGAATCAAGTACTCTCCTACTAATTATTCTCAATTTCCCGGTAGTTCTTTTCTTATTTCTTATATGTTACATATTATATTCAAAATACTTTTTGTTTGTTAAGATTTCTTTCACAGTAATAATGCATAAATTATTTTACTGTCTGAAATCTTTGTTTTGGGAAATCCAACTTCCGGCAATAACAATGGCGAACTTTTTCGTTTTTAACTAGTTATTTCTTGTCATATTTTTTGTCCTTTTTGCCGAGGAAGGCTCTTAGCCGAAACGTTCTTATCTTATTATCCCGTCTTTCGATTCAAGCTCCCACGTACCCCCTATTCTACTATTAACTCAAAATTATTGACTATTCCTGATATTCTGTGTTGAAAGGTATGAAGTATAAATTGCTGCTTTTTACTGACGTTCGCTGGAGCAAATGCTTTTCATGGTGCTGAATCCAAAGTCATCGGACACGATATTGCCTATCATGGTGCTGACACCAAAGACATCAGACACGACATTGCCTATCATGGTGCTGACACCAAAGACATCAGACACGATATTGCCTATCATGGTGCTGACACCAAAGACATCAGACACGACATTGCCTATCATGGTGCTGACACCAAAGACATCAGACACGATATTGCCTATCATGGTGCTAACACCAAAGACATCAGACACGACATTGCCTATCATGGTGCTGACACCAAAGACATCAGACACGACATTGCCTATCATGGTGCTGACACCAAAGACATCAGACACGACATTGCCTATCATGGTGCTGACACCAAAGACATCAGACACGACATTGCCTGTCATGGTGCTGACACCAAAGACATCAGACACGACATTGCTTTTCATGTTGCCTGATCCAAAAGACATCCCACGCGTCTAGTATTTTACTGACACCAGAGACATCACACACGATATTGCTTATCATAAAATTGCCGTTGCTGTGGAATGAGACCTGTCTTACAAAACCAAACTGAATTCATTACTCTGTCATAAAAGTTATAACTCTATTCACACCCAATATAGAGCAGACATGAGATCTGCTAATGTACTATAGTCCTTCAGAGTTGAAAGATAAAGGTTATTGTTAAAATGATGATATAATAGAAGGATTCGAGAATATTTTTTTTTCACGGAAGTCACCGATTTGGTTAGAACCACATTTTATGACTGATGCAGTTGTTGCAGGAGGGCTTATACAGCAAAATGATTTTAAACCAAAGTTTAAGGATTCGGTATCAAATGTTTGGCCTTCAGTAGGACATGTATAATGAAATTCTCCATAATTGAATGCTCTTTGTTTGCATTCATATCATCTTATTTGGTGGAATGTGATTTCAGTGAAATTTACCCGCTTTATTAATGAAGCTCTTGTTATTTAACTATCTTACTTAAGTTCCGCTTGATCAAATTGTTCAGCTTATCATTGAATTTATTAAAATGATAAAGATTCATTCCAATCTTAATTAATTGTTCAAACTCGGCATCGTGTCAATAGAAGACGGTTTAGAACAACGTATTCTTAAAATGCTTATCATTGGTTCGACATGGGAAGGGGGGGGGGGGGGAGAGAGAGGGGGGGGGGGGGGGGGTTTATGGGAGTAGGGGGGCGGGGACCGGAAAAAAACAACGGTTTAGAACAACGTATTCTTAAAATGCTTATCATTGGTTCGACATGGGAAGGGGGGGGGGGAGAGAGAGAGAGAGGGGGAGGTCGAGTTTATGGGACTAAGGGGGCGGTGACCGGAAAAAAACTTGAGATCCGCTGGCATAACTGGGGGGAGTGAACATAGCTCACGGATGAATGGAAAAATCAACCTTGAATCTGGCCTTGAATGTTTGCGTAGTCTGTTGCAGCCAAAACTGACGGCCGATCCTATGAGGAAAGATGTCAGAAAACCAATGACTCCGTACCACAAACAGGAAATGTCATACATGAAATATCCGGATGAGTAGGAATCTCCACTTAGACGTTTTGCTGCTTTCTCATCATCCACAACGGGTTTATCGAGCTTGTAACATTATTCAAAACAGTATTTGGCTTGTGGTTGTCGAATGGTACAGATCTGTTACCGAAGCACAGATCCACGGCAGGGGCGGGCAGTGCTCTGATTTCACTTCCATGACATTGGTTTCCGATGGCGAGCCACAGGTTCAGGGCCAGAGCGACGGTAGCCCCTACCATGGCGCCATATTTGTTGCTCCATGGGACAGACGCCCCTAGAAAAAATACTCCCACAACGGGCCCCCCATAAGCCCCAAATGACGGAGAAACCCATCTGTGTGACGGGACCTTTCAGAGTCTTCGCCCCGTACGCCAGGCCGGTGATGGCGATACCGAAGACGAAGACGACGAGTCTAGTTACAAGTGTCGCGGTGCTCTCCTTGACCCTTCTCAAACTGGGTTTGAGAATATCCTCAACTGTGTTAGCGGCCAAGGCGTTAATTCCTACAAAAAATTTAAAAATATGCTTTTGTAGCCGAGTGGGGGCGTAGCTTACAGTGTAAATGAAATCACAAAATATAACAATCAGGTCTGAGAACTATAGCTTTTAATGTAAAAGGTACAATGCGTTGACAGAGCCGACAGGAAAATCTCTCACACCTGCCATCGACCCGACGCATCCGTTCCACACCACAATCTCAAAAAATGTACACACCTCAAGTCCCAGTTCGCCCCCCCTCCCACACACACACACAGTCACAGGGAACCCGCGTCCGAGCTGACCATGGGTCAACCCCGTAGCAGGGATGGTTATTCCCGCGTCTAAATAACCTACATAAAATTTAAGGCCAGTACACGGCTGAGTGTTACGTTGAATGACCATGGATAATGGATGTGTACGTGCTTGGGGTTACCCATAGCAGTGACACTATGAGAGTGGATTCTCTTATATAGTGGCACATTGCCACACTTTACTAATTTAACGGAAAACGTTTAACTGCCCAAATTAACAAACATAATCAAAGAAACTTTAAGATAAAAACACTACAATTTTTAGTGTGGCACAGTTAATAGGACTATATAAATAATGGGTTTGAAATGCTACCTGAAGAATATGGGCTATTTAATAATGTGTCTGAAATGCTACCTGAAGAAAATGTGCTCAGTGAGCTGCCAAAAATAATGGCCATGTATAATCCAGCCATTCCTGGTAGATCCCTGAGAGCTTGAAGCACAAAATATGGCGGCAGTTGGTTTCTGTTTGTGATCAAACCAGCCTAAGAAATAACATCGACATTCATTGACACAAACCCCTGCCGTTAAATGTTACGGTAACACATTTTTAAAATTATCTTAACATGAAACGTTAGATTATGACGACAGAGGGAAAGCGATCAACAAAACTGAGCTAGTTTTATTACACTGTGTATCTGTATGTGATAATTGAGCCTCGATGTTAAATCATTGAACTCCTTGTATGACAATAATAAGTCCCATATATCTTATAATTAGTAGAAATATAGAATAAAATGATAGACGTACTGACCTGAAAAGGGTCACATCTCATACACGTCAAATAGGCGTAGATGCAGATGCCAAGACCGTACAGCAAGGCCCCGTAGATCAGAACTATGATCATGTTGATAATGAAAGACTGTTGAGCTTCTTTCATAGTCTTCATGGAACACATCCTCTGGATAGACGACTGACTGAAGATATTCACGAGCCTAGATACAAAATGTCGATGTTATTTTGATGATAATTGTAAAGTTATCTGCATATTTATCGTATTTATTGTTTTTGGGTGCACATTTTACTGATTTAAAAACGTCTGTAGTTCACATCCTTGATTTATGTTATCAAAGTTAGATCTGTCCATAACATTCACATAAAGTGAGATCTGTCCATAACATTCACATTAAAGTGAGATGTGTCCCCAAATTTATGTTTGCATGTTACCACCTGAAGTCAATATGTCCAAAGTTGTATTTATATTTATGTGCTTACGTTATAAAGTATACACACATTTATGTTTGTAAGTACTTACCACAAAAATATTCCACCAATAACTGTTCCCCACCAGGTGTGTCTTTCTCTTGGATCAGGACTTATGACATCAAAGGAAGTTCTTCCCCCATCTCTGGCTATTCTCCACACACCTTGAGGACCGCCAACAGCTAAACACGCTAAAAAAAAAAAAAGAAGTATTATCAAATAATGAAAAATGTAATAACCGAGAACACATATCAATTATGAAACTCACAGCATCACGACTAAATGAACAAATTGAATTATACCGAGAATATGTTCACGTCTAAGATGAAAGTGTCAACAAAATATTTAAATCTATAATTTGCTTCCCGACAGTTAACATTAGCAGAGCATAAGACATTCTTAATTGCATTAAATGTTTAAAGTTATTAAGATGCATACTGCATTTTTGACACTTTTGAAAGGAGCCATTGAACATAAGACATGATAATGAATAAAATTAAAAGTTATTCAACCTATCGCGGAAATAAACTTTGTTCAACAGAGAAACGGAAATTCCTAGAATACCGTTGACGATACTTGGTAAGATTGCACCCATTAAGACCACAGCCTGGAAAGCATTGGCCCAGACAACACTCTTGATGCCCCCAATGGCAGGGTAAACAGTGCCTATCCCACCAATGCTAGCCACTGACACCCAGTAAGGAATTCCAGCGGTGGCCTGAAATTAATAAATTTTACTGCGCACACAAGTTTGATTCCCATTTTTTAAAGGTGACTTAATACCAAAATGTTGTTGACAAGTTATTATTTCCCATCCAAATTTACAAGTAATGAACATATAAAAATGATTTTTTTTATGGCTGAGCCAGGTACTGACCCGGATACCCGAAAATTCCGTGTATTAACACAGCCGGAATATACCCGGAATATACCCGGACCCTGGGCCGGGTATATTCCGGTTATATTCCGGCTGTGTTAATACACGGAAAGCATTTTTTTTTTTTTTGCCTCACCCTAAACTTTATCAGCTCCACGCAAAATAATTACGACTACGAGGTGTAAGAATTTAACCAAACAATTCTGGGGATTCACTTACAGTTACCCTCTATAGAACCTTCCACCCTTCTTAGTCATTATTTCTGCTTTCCTCCATCGCCGATCAAAATTACAATACCTATGTCTTTATATAAACAAAAATTCACTGCCCCTTGCTCCTGTCTCTCTCGATTTCAAGGTATAATTCTGGTTGTGAGTGGATATAACTTGACAAATGACATACAGTGTTCCTGCCACTAAACAAATTGAGAACCGCTAGGGGAGGATTATATTATTAAGCTATTAGTGTTTTGAAATCTTTAACTTTGATATCTTCATGATCGCTACTGGTTTCATACAAGCCCCATTCGGAAGAACACATTATAGAAAATGAGAATATTATTCTTTTTTACACCCGGGCATTGTCCCAAAATATCAGGTCCAGGACCCGGACCGGGTGTAAATAAATTGCACCCGGCTCAGCCCTAATTCTTTGGCACCGAACAAATGATGCTATGAAAGGAAACTTGGGTTCTCACTTCCCTCACTTTCATTTTAGTGGCAAGCTGTCTGCAAGAAATGAAATGAAGTCATTTGCACCAGTCAGTCGACATATACTTGGCAAGGACTAAATTCAGGCAACGAAATACACAAATAATACTGGTTACTTGAACTAAGCTTCTACCCGGAGCCGGCCTTAAGTATACGAAAAGCAGGAAAGAGTATGTGGCGCCAGAGTCTAGGGGTGTCATTTTTATCCGCAATTTTTTTTTTAAAATAATAAATTTAATGGAACAATTAATAGCTTTTTGACTGGCAACAATACTCTGAATTAGAAGAGCAATTGTTAAAATTTCGTTGAAAGGTCAACTAGTAATTAATGACACTTTTGATAACACTGTCCTGAGTTCTCTGTGTTCAGTTTTTCTTTGTTTACAGATAACACTGTGCTGAGTGCTCTGTGTGGAGTTTTTCTTTGTTTACAGATAACACTGTGCTGAGTGCTCTGTGTGGAGTTTTTCTTTGTTTACAGATAACACTGTGCTGAGTGCTCTGTGTGGAGTTTTTCTTTGTTTACAGATAACACTGTGCTGAGTGCTCTGTGTGGAGTTTTTCTTTGTTTACAGATAACACTATACTGAGTGCTCTCTGGTTCTGGTAATGTTTCGTTGCTGCATCCATGAACTGGCATCTTTGCAACGGTTGGGGATATGATGTTGCTATTCTAACAGCTCCTAGCTGATGCCAGGGCAGCCTTGAAGCTTTCGACCGATGTCGAGTTCACAGTGGCATCGTTCAGGTGGTTCCATGCTATTATTGTGCGTGGGAAGAAAGATTGTTGGTACTGCACTGTGTTGCACTGAGGCACTTTGAAGCATTTTCTATTGTTTCTGGTGTAATTGTTTATGGGAATGTCAGTGGTGAAGTTATTGTTCAGTGAGCGTTTTGCTCTGATCAGTCTACCCGGCTTCTGTGGGATGAGGTACGTGCCTGCTGGGATGGCCGGCACCAGTCCCATGATCACTTTATATAAGAATATCAGGCGGAGTCCCTCTCGTCTGTCTTTAAGGGGTGGGATGTCAAATCTTTTTAAGAGGCCAGTGACGAAGCCAGGAGTGGTGGATTTGTAGTCTCGAACGATAAAACGCACCGCGTTTCGTTGAATTCGCTCCATCGTGTCCATGTCTTGTTTAAGGTGTGGGTCCCAGATGATCGCACCATAATCCAATAGTGGACGGACGAGTGAGTTTTTTTGAGTGAGTTTTACCCTTGTTTAAGAGTAGCACCCTGATTGAATAAGTAGAATACATTTTTATAACAAGATTTTCTTATTCATTTGGGCATTTAAGTTCTATAATTATTTTGCAAGCATGAACTTTTATTTTAATGATTTATTTTATTTTTTTTTATTTTTTATTTTTTTTTTGGGGGGGGGGGGGCGGGGTTTGGGGCTGGAGTGGGGGGAATAGATTATTTTGTATTGTAATACGCTCATTGAAGTACTCTGTGAAAGGGAATATAGATTATTGGAGGGGGGCATGCTATTGGAACCGAAGGAGTAGGATCGTTGTTACCAAAAAAGTTGTGATAGGGACTTCATTGTAGTAAGTTTTAATTTGTTTTTGATTTCTTCACTAATTTAGTTTCTCTTTAATTTGATTTTTTTTTAAAAGTATTTTAAACGGTTATTAGACGCATTGAAGAAGCACAACAATTTTTGAATCCATTCAGAGACAAAGGTTTTCAGGACATAAAGATTACAACAAATAAACTAATCTACTGAAGCCCTCCTGCAACAACAGCATTAGCCATAATTACAACCATGTCTTAAGGAATTATTGAACAAAATGTTCAGATATACAAAATGTTCAGATATACACAATTCACAAACGAATCGGAATACCTCAGATATTAAAGATTAAAAAAAGTTTTTTTTTTGGTATATAATATGCTGCCATGCATTGTTCTCTCAGAAGTTTATACTGATTTCATGTAGGCAAATAACCATTCACACACAAACACACACATACACACACCTTGGTGGAACCGAACATTGCAATAAGCCTTGTGGCAAACGTTCAAGAATTTGTCAAAAGAAACCAGTTGTGCCCACTTCAAGATACTTTTCTCAGAGTTTAGAGTCCAACTGCATTTCGAACAGTTCCACCTACAAGCTTTCTTCTGCCTTGGCAACATCAGGTGAATAGTGCTGAGAATAATGCAACGTGGTTTTCAAAAGATGAGAAATCTTAAAATCTTCCTGAAATTCCTTAAACAACGATTTCAGTTGACTGTCGTACTTAGGAACGTTAAGTTCAGACTGAGTTTTGGAAGTGTTCAGACTCAGTATTGACAGTGTTTAGACTCACAATTGACAGTGTTCAGACTCAGTATTGACATTTTTCAAACTCAGTATTGTCAATGTTCAGACTCAGTCTTGGCAGTGTTCAGACTGAGTATTGACAGTGTTTTTAACCTCTTTGCACTTACGAAAATGAACTAAATTTTCATCATACAACTGTGACTTCGGTAAGATTAGTTTTGTAATGCAAAGCTTGATGTCATGACACAACTGTGTGATGAGTTTGTTTTTAACTTGTAATTTCAAGTTAAGATCAGCTAATTGTGGAGCAATGTCCACAGAAAACAGCTACACCCCGGAGTAAACTTCCTTTTACAGTATCCTTGGTACGGGCCATGGCGTGTTTGCAAAGGGCCGCATGTTGGACATGCCCGGTGTAAAGGT